ATTAATTAATTAATTAAAAATTAAAAACAGCTGGGCAAGGTGGCACATGCCTTTAACCCCAGAACTTGGAAGGCCAAAGTATGAGGATCTCGAGGCCAGCCTGCTCTACATAATGAATTCCAGGTTAGCTGGGGCTATAGGGAAACCCTGTCTTAAATCAAAAGAAACAAACAAAAACAACAACAAAAGCATGTCCACAGCCTGAGGTTTAAATTTTAGAAAACAAAATATAATATAGGCCTATCCCACCAATCAGTGGTGCCACACTACAGTTCTCTTTGGTTTTGGTAGTTTTGGTAGGGTGTTTAAGGAAGGCCCTTGGGAAACCCAAGCTAACCTAAACTAACCTAACTAAAACCCAGGCTGACATAGAAGTCCTTATGTAGACCAGGTTGCCTGATCTCACAGAAATCTGCCTGCTTCTGACCCTCTAGTGCTGGGATTAAAGGTGTACACCACCACACCTGGCTTTAAAGATATTTACTTTCTATTTATTTATTTATTTATTTATTTATTTATTTATTTATTTATTCTGTCTTTTTGAAGTAGGGTCTCCCTGTAGCCCCAGCTGACCTGGAACTCACTATGTAGATCCACCTGCCTCTGCCTCCCAAGTGCTGGGACTACAGGCGTGCGCCACCACACCTGGCTAAGATTTTATTTTTTATTTATTCATGTATTTATTTCTTTATTTGGTCTTTTTGAGACAGGGTCTCCTTATAACCCCAGCTGGCCTGGAACTCACTATGTAGACCAGGATGGCCTTGAATTCACAGAGATTTGCTTGCCTCTGCCTCTCAAGGGCTGGGATTAAAGGCGTGCACCAACACACCTAATTTAAGATTTTATTTTTGTGTATGTGTGCCTGTATCTGTAAATGCACCCATGTTGTGCAATGCCTTTAGAGGCCAGAAGAGGGCATTGGATCTCCTGGAACTAGAGTTACAGAGGGATGTTAGCCTAGATGTGGGTGCTAGGAACTGAACCAGGCTCCTCTGCAAGAAGCAGTGATCTTAACTGCTGAGCATCCCTCCAATCCCAAAGATATTTTAATTTAATAAACTGTTTAAGATAAATATCTCCCAGGCAATTTTTGACTTATACTTAGTACAAGAATTAGTCCTTGGCCAAGCATGGTGGTACACACCTTTGATCCCAGCATTTAGGAGGAAGAGGCAGAGGCAGGCAGATCTCTATGAGACTGAGACCAGTCTGATCTACATAGGGAATTCCAGGCCAGCTGGGGCTACAGGAAGACCCTGCCTTAAAAAAAGAAACACACACATACACACACACACAAAAGAATAGTCCCTGGGCACAAAAAGGGCACCTATTCCCAGGACAAAAGCTGTGGAGCAGGACCAGCATTCCCAGCCCCAGACTGAGCAGTGCTGCTCCCCAGGCCCTGTGCACCACCAGGAGATCGATGCTGGAGCTGACCTGTAGTCTTCCCTGGTGGCGATGAGGCTGGACACGTTGCGCAGGATACCACCTCCACTCTCAATGACAGCCAGGGAGTTCCCTTGGCAGCGGTAGGTGAGCGTGCTCACCAGGAAGCCCAGAGCACCATCCACCTGGCAGATGGCCGCCTTATTCTCTGTGCTGTGTGCAGACAGGTTCCACAATGCACTGAGCACGCTCTTCAGGGTGGACTCCTGGGTTGGGAGGGGGATGGCCAGAGTGAGGGGATATAGTCACAGAGGATGGCCACAGAGCTTTTCCACAAAAATAGCAGCCCAATCAGCTGGCCCAGGCCTGCCATCCTAACACTCAGGGGGCTGAGGCAGGAGTATTGCAAGTTGTAGGATAGCCTGGGCTACAGAGGGAGACCGTGTCTCAAAGTAATATGTGAAAGCTGGGTGTGGTGGCTTACACCTTTAATGCCAGCAGCACTCAAGAGGTAGAGCTCTGTGAATTCAAGGCCAGCCTGGTCTACATAGTGAGTTCCAGGTCAGCTGGTGTTACAGGGAAACCCGGTCTCCAGATGATGATGATGATGATGAGGAGGAGGAGGAGGAGGAGGAGGAGGAGGAAGAAGAGGAGGGAGATGAGGAGGAGGAGGGAGATGAGGAGGAGGAGGAGGAGGAGGGAAAAAGAATGCTCTAAGTGAATAGAGTCCCTGCCTAGAATCCACAAGTGACGGGCTGGGGGTGTGGGTCAGGGGTAGAGTGGCAGGCAGCCTCGAATCTCCCAGTGAGGTGGTAGGGGAATTGTTCAGGGATAGAGTGACAGCCAAGAATCCCCCAATGAGGGGCTGGGGGAGTGGCCCAGAGGTAGATGACAGCCTAGAATCCCCCAGTGAGGGGCTGGGGGTTCAGCTCAGTAATAGCCTGTCTACCATGTGAACCCCGTTTTCATCCTCAGTACTGTGGTGGTTGGGGTTGGGGGTTTTGATTGGGCACAGGGCCCAAACACACACAAATTGTGCTGTCTCAAGGCCGCAGAACTGCATGCTGGGAACAGTTGAGGCTGGGCCACTTGCGCATTCACTTACTTTGACTTCCCCAGAGACAGGGAGTTCATCTGCCCTAGTGTCTCCCAGCTCTATGGCTATGGCTGATGCTGACCAACTATGGCAACTCCCACTGACTCCATGCATTGCCCACTGGCCCAGAACTCACCTTGGTAGCCCGCAAGACACACTCCATGAGGGCAGTCATGCTGCCCACCTCCCTCAGTACTTTCTTGCTGTTGATGTCAGCTCTCCATGACAGATTGCGGAGGATGCTGGACACGACCTGACAGGAGGAGCAGGCGGTCATAGTAGACCCAGAGTCTTCTCTCACTGTGGCACCTCCCCCCACATTGACCCTGGAAAGGGGCTGATAACAGAGCCTGGGCAGGGAGTGGGGGGCACCATGGAAGTCAGTTTGTGGAGACAAACTATCCCAACCCTGAGGAAGGGGGGCAAGCCAAGGCTACCTCCACCCCTTCCTGGTTACCTGGTGGAGTTCCTCGCTATCAGAGGCCAGCTGGGCTACAATGGCCTCCATACAGCCTCGGCGGGCGCACAATGTGGCCTGTTGTGGTTGATATGGGATAGTGGAGGTCACAGCAGTTAGAACGGGAGGCTCCTCTGACCTTTCTCTGTACCCCACCCCCATGGAATATATTACCAACCCTAAATGGTTAAGCTTGGTCACCACCTGTGAGGTGACTGTATCGGTCACATGAAGAAGCATAAACAGGTGGAGACCCCTGTCCTCTGCCAGGGCCTAAGCCACAATTCTGTGTAGGACATAGTGGGAGCCGCCTGTCGAGGGGACCCAGGTAAAGACTCTTCCCACTTCACCCCACCCTCAACTGGGCCTCAGTCTGTCTGTTTCTATATCAGGTACAACTGTCCCCACCCCTCAGCATCACATCCAGGCTGGGGTGAGGTAGAGGCAGGCTCAGTATGGTCCTTAAACCCCACCCATCCACATGCCAGCCCCGAGAACCTTATTGGCCACGTCTCCAAAAGTGAGGTTGGTGAGGGTCATGCCTGCATAGCGGCGCAGGGCAAGGTTGAGTGGGTCCTGTGTGGTCTTGTGCATCTCGTAATCCACTTGCAGCAGTTCCGCAATGGCCTGCAGCCCACCTGGGGAAGGAGGAGGTCACGCGGAGAGCTGAGGATGGCAGGTGTGGGCGCGGCCAGCCCTGGCCACTCTGCTTTATGCCACCACACCTTCCCAAGTCAGACACGGTGCTCCATCTACCCAGGTTCTATATCACAGCTGGAGGGTCAGTCAACAGCCCTGTATGATCCAGGAGGGGACACCAGAGGGATGCTCACCTAGCTCGTTCATGGCACGACGGTACTCATCATCAAAGGACAGCTTCATCACCGCACAGGTGGCCTGGCAGATCTGAGGCTCAATGGGGACAGGGGCTGTGGGCAGGGGAGATTAGATAGTTCACATCTGTCGACTATTCAAGAGTGGACCCCAGAGTTCTTCATACCCATAGCCCAGGTTCGGGGTAGAGCCCCTGCCTAGAATCCCCCAGTGAGGGGCTGGGGTCATGGCTCAGGGGTAGAGTGATGGCCCAGAATCCCCCAGTGGGGGGCTGGGGGGCATGGCTCAGGGGTAGAGTGACAGTCCAGAATCCCCCAGTGAGGTGCTTGGGGTGTGGCTCAGAGTAGAGTGACAGCCCAGAATCCCCCAGTGAGGGGCTGGGGTCATGGCTCAGGGGTAGAGTGACAACCCAGAATCCCCCAGTGAGGTGCTGTGGGCAGGCTCTGCATTTGCCCTGCATACTCACTGCCTCCTGCACTGCTTCCCTCTCCTGAGTCTCGGGCCTGCAGCCAGTCCCAGGAGGTCTCACAGTAGGCACGGATCTGCTCCAGCACATGCAGCACCCGCATCTCCTTGCGTGCCAGGCCCTGATCTGGCTGTGAGAAGACGATGTTGTGCAGAGCTGCATTGGCGCGCATGCGAGCGTCCTTGGCACCTGGTGCCCCCGGGGTCCCTGTGCGGCCTCCAGACCCTGCCTCTGTGCTATGCAGGATCTGTAGCAGCAGTGGCAGGCAGCCTGAACGCCGCATGGCCACACAGCTCTCTGGTGAACTGGACATGGCCAGTAGCGTTCGTGCAGTGTCCTCCTGGTCCCTCGTAGCCAACATGGACAGTAACCAGAACACGACCTCAACCTGCAGAGGGGACACCAGATGAAGGCAGATCAGGGTGTGAACTTTGCCCCACTATCTACATCTGCCAACTCCCCTTAAAGAAGGTGGCTGTTGGGCTGGCAAGATGGCTAAGGCAGTAAAGGAGCTTGCAGCCATGCCTGACAACCTCAGCTCCATTACCCAGACCCACAAGGTGGAAGGAGAGAATTGATTCCCAAAGACTGCTCTCTGACCTCCACAGGCATGCAGTGACACATGTGCCCTCCCCACTACACACAGTGAAACAAAGTGTAATTTTTAATTTTTTAAAATTTTAAAAATATTTTATTTTTATTTTATGTGTATGTGTGTTTTCCTGCATATAGGTAAGTGCGCCCATGTCGTGCAATGCCCACGGAGGACAGAAGAGGTTGTCGGATCCTCTGGAAATGGAGTTACCAACAGACAGTTGTTAGCTGCCATGTGGGTACTGGGATTTGAACTTGGGTCTTCTGCAAGAACAGCCAGTGTTCTTAACCGCTGAGCCATCTCTCCAGCCCCAAAGTATAATTTTTTTAAAACTAGCCACATGGTGGCACGTGGTTTTAAGTCCAGCACGCGGGAGGCAGAAGTAGGTTGATGTCTGAGTTTGAGGTCAGTCTGGTCTACATAGTGAGTTCCAGGCCATCCAGAGCTACATAGTGAGACAGGTCTTAATAGAAATAAAAATAAAAAGATGTGGCCCATAATTCCAGCACTCAGAAACCTGAGGCAGGAGGATTGCTGCGAGTTTGAGGTCAGCCTCTGCTACATAGTGAGGCTGTCTGAAAGGAACAAAGACACCCGCCCCCAGGAGCCCCACAACGTAGGCGGCGCGGGGGGGGGGGGGCAGCTCTCCACAGCAGGGGAGCTTGGAAAAGGCTCTCCCTCGGGCTGGGTGCCGGGCCTCCCTTACCCCATGGCACTGTCCTGGGGGGTCCTCCCTCCCTCACCTTGCTGTTGCCAGGTTGAGGGGCATCCTCGGGGTGCGTGGGAACCTCGGCCTCCGGGTCCTCCTCCACTGCCACGGGCTTCACAGCCAGTAGGGCCTGTAGGGCGAGCAAGAGGCCTAGGGATTCAGTCTGCACCCCAACAGAGCACAGCGGATAGACCCCCTGGGGCTGTGATGGGGCTGCAGACCCCTTGCTGCGGGGTTGGGGGTTGCCACCAGCTCTGGGCTCCAGCTCTGCCTGGTCCCATACCTGGGGTTCCGTCTGCTGCACCCTGTCTTGAGCCTCCAATAGCTCCTTGTCAATCTGCTCCAGGCGGGAAGCGCGGATCTGTAGAGAGAGACCAGGGCTGGGGCCCTCAGGGAGAGGGGGCAGGACCCCAACCCCGCTCTGTCCCCGTCCCGCCCCACGCCCCACGCCCCACCCACTCCCCCGCCCCGCCCCTCCGACCTGCGCGCGCTGCACCATCTCATCCGAGGTGCCAAAGCGCTCCTCCATCAGGGAGCGGATGTGCTGGGCCTCGAACTCCAGCTGCTGCCGGATCAGATCCATCTGCATTGAGAACTGCTGGGAGGAGGGACGGGCTGCGGTGAGGGGCGTGGGGGACTCCACTGCAGCCCCTGCTCCCCCAGGCAGTCCCCTCGTTCACCCCCTCCCCCCGAGTGCCCCCCTCCTACCGTTTCCACGTGCGGCAGCTCGTCCAGACGCTTGGCCAGGCCCTGAAGCTGTGTGTAGTACCACAGCTTCTCCTTCTCTTCCTTCTCTATCTCACTCAGCAGGAAGCATCTGGCGGTGCAAGGGGATTTGCATGAGGTGGGTTCCCGAAGCACCCCGCCCTTGTTCCCAGCCCTGACCTGGGTACTAGAGGGAGCTGGTAGGTGAAGGTAAAAAGCAATCCCTTGGGATGCAAAGGCATGAGAGTTCAAAGATCCCTGGGACCACAGAGCGAGACCCTCTTTCAAAAAAAAGTGGCTGGCCAAGATGGCTCAGCAGGTAAAAGGGCTTGCTGCCAAGCCTGATAACCTGAGTTCAATCCCCAGAGGCACACACAGTAAAAGGTGCCTGTCAACTCCTTGGAGTTGTCATAAATGTTAAGAAATAAAAATCTTGCAGAGCATGGTGGCGACAGGACTTTAATCCCAGCACCTGGAAGGCAAAGGCAGACAGATCCCTGTGAAATAAAGGCCAGCCTGTGCTACATAGTAAGTTCCAGGTCAACCGGGGTACAGGGAGACCCTGTCTCAAGGTATGGGGTTGGGTACCTGTCATCCCAACACTGAGGAGGCTGAGGAAAAAGGATCATAGATTTGAGACCAGTCTGGGCTACATAGTGAGACTTTCTTTAAAACAATAAAAAGTAGCTGGGCATAGTGGCCCACAACTTTAACCAGCACTTGGGAGGCAGAGGCAGGCAGATCTCTGTGAGTTTGAGGCCAGCCTGGTCTACATAGCAAGTTCCAGGCCAGCTGGGGCTACAGGGAGACCTGTCTCAAAAAGACCAAAAAAAAAAATATATATATAGAAATTCTGGAATCCATTGAAAGAATGCGCAGGCATAGTGCCACACACCTTTAATCCCAGCACTCCGGAGGCAGAGGCAGGCGAAACCTCTGTAGGTTAGAGGCCAGCCTGGGCTACATAGCTAGTTCCAGGCTAGCTGGGGCTACAGGGGACCCTGTTTAAAAAAAAAAAAAATTAATTCTTCAGTCAGCCCATCTGACTGGCCTCACACAACCCAGACAAGATGAGCTGGGTCTCAGGCCCTGCCCCCCTCCACTGGCCATGGGCCCAGATTTGTGTTTTTTTTTTTTTTTTTTTTTTGAGGGTTCTGTTCACTAACAAAGCCAGCCTTGAGGCCCTCTGGTGCTAATCTTGATTCTGAGTCCTAACTTTGGATGTGGCTCTGTCCCCAGAGACTCCTGTGAGTCTGGGGCACCTCCTCCCCTGCCCAGGGACATCTCCTAGGAGCCAGAAATGTCCACTGTGGTCCAGCTGGTGTCAGCCAGCCAGAAACAAGAGTGGGGCTGCGATGGGTGTGGCCTGTGGGGGTGGGCCACAGACCAAGTGAGCCAGTTGGAGGGGGTTGGGCCCTGGGGGCGGGTCCCTTCCCAAGCCCCCACACCTTTCCTGGTCCAGTTCTTCAAGTAGACGGATGGTGGCCCGGCTCAGCTCCCCAAAGCTGTCCTTCAGTGGCCCAGAGCTGTGCACAGGGCTCCCCTCTGGGATCTGGGCAGAGGGCTCCTGGTGCAGGGTGGGTGGCTGGAACTTGAGGTTGTATAGACTGCTGATGTCAGTCTGGAGAGCTGGTAGGAGGGAAGTCATTGGTAAAGGTAGGGTAGGTGACCCACTGCCCCCCACTTCCCCACTCAGCCCCCACATGGTTACTCACCCTTCAGCTGCTCCAACACTTCTGTCTGTCCAGAGGACACCAACACTCGGGCCTCCTGCTCTAACTTGCCCTGCAGGTGTTTCAGTACTTCCTGTGGAAAACAGCAAGGAAAAGAGGTGCTGAGCATCACAGCTACCCTGGGGAACCCCCTCAGTACCCCCTAAGATCTCTACCTTCATGCCTGAGGTTTCAGTCTCCAGCTTGAACAGGTGGCTGGAGTTATCCTGTAACTCCTGCCTCAAGTAACTATTCTCCGCCTTCAATGCCTCCACCTGCCGTACCAGCTGCTCATAGGATGTAACAGAGGTGGCCATCTTCAACTCCTGCAGTGCCTGGGCCGAGAGAGCATGAGGTTGAGTTGATGGCCATGAGAGGGGGGGCACTGGTACCCCTCTAGACAGCCTTGCACCTGAGTTCAGCCCTCCCACCCATTCTGGGGGTGCAACCCTGGGGCCAGAGTGGCAGGCAGGAGTGAACCACTCCAAGCTGGGCCTGGTAAATCTGGAAGACAGATGGTCAGACAGACAGACAGACAGACAGACAGGCAGACTGGAGGTGGAAGCTCAGGGTCTTTTGATGGCTGGCTGATGGATGGACAGACAGGCAGGGACACCTGAGCTGACAGCCAGGCAGAGGAACAGAGATCTGTCACCCTGACAGTCTAAGTCACCAGGTCAGGTGGACAGGCCAACCAGACATGACCAGGCTTACAGGCTGACACCAGAAAATTTGACCAACAGGCAGACAGATGGGAACGGATTCCCACCAGGACACAACAAGCTGGCAGACAGAAAGACTCGGAAGGACAGGTCATTGGCTGGCCCTGAACACTGTGAAGGGAGCTAAGGCAGGAGATGGGCAGGTGGGAAGGAAGTGCCACAAGGTAGACCCATGCTTACCAGGCTCTCACCAGGGGTCTGAGTCCTGAACCACCAGGAACCCCTGCAGCCCCTCACCCCTCCATCCATAGCTGGGTCCCCGGCAGCTCTGTTCATGTCCAGTCGCCTCTGTCATAGGTACCCCCTTCCTGTGTCCTTTGTCACAACCTGGTTCTTTGTGCTCTAGCTGTCTCCGGTCTCGGGTCCAGCCTCCTCCCTCCGTCTGGCTGGTGCCTCCCCCCTCAACTTGGTCCTTCTACCACAGCCATCCCAAACCCCCCAAGATTCCCCTTCTGTCTTTGTTCCTTTCCATCAGCTGGAGCCCCCTCCCTCTGCCTTTGTCTGAGGCCCACCAATAGCGACTCATCTCTTCCTCTACCACCTCCTCCTCCCTGGGAGCCCTCTTCCCTTGCCAGTCTGAGACTCCATCCCAAATTAACTATGCCCCCCTGGGGTCGGGGAACACCTGCTCCTTTGCCCCCTCCCCCACCTGCACACATGCTTCCACATTCTCTCCTTTGCTGCAAGTGCCTTGCCCACCCTGATGTCACCCAGGGCAAAGGGGGGCAGGAGGACATTTGAGGGGCTCAGCCTCCTGTCATCTCAACTGGTCCAGAGGACCTACTGTGTTCCTAGCCATGCCTTCTCACCACCACAGTCCTAAGTCTCAGATGTTCCCAGAAGAGAGAAACTGAGGTGGGGGAGGGGGGAAGGCAGGCATGATCTGAATTCAGATTCTGTCCCTGGCACAGCTCAAAGCCAAACAGTCAGATATGGTGTGGTGGCACATGCCTGTCATCCCACCCCTCAGGAAGTAGAGGCAAGAGGATCAGGAATTCAAGGTCAGCCTCAGCTACACATGGGAGTTCAACATTAGCTCATCTATAGAGAGCACTGTAGAGTGCAGGGAACCCAGCTCCCTCAGAGGATGATGAGATGTTGGCCATGGGCGGTCTCAGGGTAGAGGTACACAGAAAAGAAGTGGGGGACCACATACCTCAACACTAATCCCGCCCAAGCCAAAGTCGGGGTGTCCCAGGGCATATCTGCTCTAGCCAGTCCAGGCTTCAGGCTGAAGTGGCCAGTCACATGCACCCCTATCTGCCCACCCATACAGACATGAGGGGGATAAATTCCCTCCCAATACAGCTTGTTACCCTGTCTCCAAACAGCTACCAGCCCCTCAAAAACTGGGTCCAGCTATATCCCCCCACCACTTCCTGAGTCTCTGATACCCCCGGTTCCTCCTCCCAGCCTCTTTCTGCCTCCCCCAAGAAGAAGCTATAAGACTTACAAATTGAGGGCTCAAATACCTCTTATGGATCACCAGTGCCGATAAACCCTGACAACCCCCGCCAAATTCTCTAGGAAATGTATTGTCCTTAGGCTCTCTCTCTCTCTCTCTCTCTCTCTCTCTCTCTCTCTCTCTCTCTTTAGTTGAGCAGTTATATTCCTAGGAATTGACCCTACAATCTGTTCATTTCTGTGTCCCATGCTAAAAGTGTCAACACAGCCCCCACACCTGATCCCTCACACACACACACACACACACACACACACACACACACACACACGGCCTCTTCCTTCAGGAAGCCCTCCTGTCTACCCCTGTCCTGACAAATGACAGGTGGATATGCAATCCAGGGGAAGGAGGCACAGATGTAGAGAGAGAGGCCCAAAGGGGCTCATCTCTGAATTCTTGTCCTCACAACCCCTTTTTCAGAGATGGGAGGGGGAGACACACAACAACGCCCAGGGATACACAGCATCCTGTTCTTTGACCCTTCAGGAAGCCCTCCTGTCTACCCCTGTCCTGACAAATGACAGGTGGATATGCAATCCAGGGGAAGGAGGCACAGATGTAGAGAGAGAGGCCCAAAGGGGCTCATCTCTGAATTCTTGTCCTCACAACCCCTTTTTCAGAGATGGGAGGGGGAGACACACAACAACGCCCAGGGATACACAGCATCCTGTTCTTTGACTCCCTCCCATCCTTCATGTCTATTATTTCCCAGCTGATGCAGCTGTTGGTATCCCTGGGTGTGTGCGCACAGCACTGGCCAAAGCGACTCAGATGCCCACTTCACCCAGACTCGGTTTCCCCTCCAGATCCTATTCTGGGTTTGAGTCTATGCTGACAGGGCGAGGCAGGTCGCACTCCTGTTCTCACCCCCCAGGGTAAAGATGCACCCGCTTACTTGCATCTGGGTGAGCTGGGAGGCCTCGGGCCTTCCTCCGCCGCTCAGCTCGGCCTGAAACCCAGACCTGGGGGCGGGGTCTCAGCAGTACAGACAGGACGGACAAAGCCCCATCCAGGCCTGGCCCAGGCCGTGCAGCCGCTCCCAGCGCTGGGCGAGACCACCGCGAGCCAGTAGGGGGAGGATGAGGGATGCAGGCTCGCGGGCCAATGACGGCACGCGAAGACGGGCTGGTGCCATGGCAACAGCCAATAGCAGCCCGGGGCGGGGACCACTGGCAGCGGGGCTTTGGGCTTCTGCTGGGTCTCAGGGACTAGTGGGAGGGTAGGCAGATGCTGGATTGGGCGAGCCCCCTCCCTAGGAAAAAGGGGGCTCCCCGAGGACCAGGACTCCATGTAAAACATCAAATTGATGGCTATAAGACCAAAATCTTGGGGGGCGGGGATGCATCCCACCGAGTGGAGGTGTTAGGGTCTGTGAGGCTGGGGACAAGCAGAGCTGGGGTTCCCTGGGGTCCTGACTGGCCTGGAACTTGGAGGGTCACAGGGAGTGGGCAGGCACTCTAGGGAGATCTTCCCTGTCTCCATGGCACAGCATCAGGACCTGGGCCTGCTATCTCATGTGAGGTCCCCCCTCCATGTCTCTGTTTCCTTTCTCTCCAAGTCTGTCTTCCTGAACCCCAACATGCCCTAGAAGGGTCCCTCTGAGCACTTAACCTGCAGAGCCCTCTGATATTCCAGGCTCACAGGACATAAGGCTGTCACCGCTGCTGCACAAGGTGGCTTTGCCAGCCACTCTCCCATTTTTCCTAGCCTGGAGACCCTGAAAAACCATAGGGTTCCTGCCCCTCTGGATACCAAGCCAAGTAAGGGAGTCCCCTTATCCCCTGAGTTTTGAGGCTGTGACACCGGGGGACCACGAAGTTTCCTGCCTGAGTACCTCCCCCTGGGCTAGCTGAAGTCTAGAAGCTTCCAGCTGGCTGAATGAATGGAAAGAGGAAATGGGCAGAAATGGGGTCCTTTGGGGACTTGGGGAAGGCTACTCTACAAAGTGGATAAGGAACCAGGTGTAGGGGATCAGACATTCAGGAGACTGGGGCAGGCGGATCTGTGAGTCTGAACCCAGCCAGGTCTACATAGTGAGTTCTAGGTCAGTTGGGGATACAGAGACCCTGACTCAAAAGGACTAATTTAAAACAATATATGGGGTGTGGTGTGACATGGTTCAAGAGTCAACTTATGGGCCAGGAGGGGCAAATCTAGGACTATGGAGAGAGCAAAGCTTGCTTGGGGGTAAAGTAGATGTCTGGGGCAGTCTTGGAGTGTTCCATAGATTGTGGGGTTCAGCCAAGGCTGGGAATGCAAGATTCTGTGGGGTGGAGGATTGCAGGGTGTTCTAGAGGCTCAGCTCAGCTGAGCAAGGTTTGGAGTAGGGGTGTGCAGCCCAGGCCTTGGCCTCTGCCTCTACCTCCTTGTGTGACCTTGGCTCCAACCTCTGGCCTTGCTGCTTAGTTCAGTGGGGAGCTTGGGTAGACAGCCCTTTTCTGTGATGGACAGTTTTACAGGACTTTCTCAGGCAAGGGCTGGAGGTGGCACTAGTCACTCCAATCCTTCAGACATGGGGAAACTGAGGCTTGGGCCAGGAAGTATGCTGTTTCAATTCAGGAATGGGCCCCCACTGAAAGGCTGAGTGCTTTAGGCCTCCCTAGGTAAGATGCCCTTCATCCCAAACCCTTAGAACATTCCGGCTGTCAGTGTCCTGGCATTGTTCCAAGCCCCTCAGTGGACTCCAGTGTGTGGAGTTGGGGTTGAAGCTCTATGACGCCATGCATATTACTACGGGGAAAGGATGTCTCTGGGGCGGGGCAGCCACTAAACCGGGATGGTGAGCCTCAGTTTCCCAGGAGGGGAGCAGGCAGCCCTGAACCGGCAGCCCTGGACCCCTGGGGGTCGTGTCCTCTGAGCACAAGGTTAGCTAGAGCCCCAGGTGTGTGACCTTGGGCTCCTTAGTTGAACCCCAACCTCAATTTCCCCTTAAGTGGGCAAACTGTAATACTGTGGGGCTCAAAGACCTGAGATGTGTGTGGGCGGGTGGGATGGACTGTCAGGAAAGGGGGCTCCGAAGTGGGCTTGGAAACCGGTCTGGAGAGGCGCAGGGTGTGGTCGTCGTCCCACCCCCTCCCCCAGCATCCTGTGCTGAGTGGAGCATTTGAGGTGCAGACCCTGGTCTCCCAACCTGCATCTCCAAGAGGGGATGGAGAATGGGGGAGGAACCTGGGGAGACGGATGACGGAGGAATGAGGAGGGAATATGGAGGGGGCATGGGGAATGGAAGGGACAAGGAATGGAGAATGTGGAGGTGATAGTCCCAGGCCCAGGGATGCGCTTGCAAGGAAGCCTTGCGCCTGCGCAGCACAGAGGGGTCTCCTCAGAGCAAGTGGTGGAGGCCAGCCTCGAGCACATCCTCAAGTTTCCCTGGCAACCATCTCCAGGGCAACTACGCAAGACCCCCGCCCGACCCATGGACTCCAGTACACACATCTCCACCGGGTGTCCAGGACCGAGTTTTCCACGGTCAGGACCCCACGGTAGCTGTGCACCCAGGACCCAGGTCCTCGATCAGGGTCCCCACGCTGCACCTTACCTGGTCCCCGAAGAGGGCGGAGTGCAGGAGGCTCAGCAGACCCCAGAGCCCCATGGAGCTGTGGCCTGGAGATCGGCGCCCCGCCCTCAGCCGCAGGGATGGGGGCGGGAGGCCGCGCATTCTGCGCCTGCGCGTAGGCAGGGGCGGGGGTGTGGTGGTGGTGTCACCCGGTTGGGAGCCTGGGCTGTGAGACCCTGAGAGATGGACTTCAATGCCCTGAAACTGGAGTTTCCATATTACCATGTGGGTGACAAAAAGCGGCTGATGGGACTGGGATCTCCAGGGTTGATGGTGGTCTGGGGAGATCACACTGAGACAGGGGAGGGGGTCCATGGAGAATTGGGGACCGAGAACTAGAGGTGGACTCCACCCTGTGGCAACTGCCTCTTGAACCTGCATGTGGACAGACACCACGCTGCCCATGCATCAGCGCTGTACCCAAGGTTTATGATTCACTCAACAAAGGATTGCTGGATGGCAGCCTGAGTCTGATGCAAGGCTTGGAGGAGGACCACCAGACCATTTTTGGTTTTGAACACAAGATTTCACTATGCAGCCCTGGCTGGCCTAGAACTCACAAGAGATCTGCCTCCAGCATCCTTGGATGAAAAGTGTGCCTTGCAGGGCATGGTGCCACATATCTGTAATCCCAACACTTGGGAGGCAGAGGCAGGAGGATCTCTGTGAGTTCAAGGCCAGCCTGGTCTACATAGCAAGTTCCAGGCCAGTTGGCACTACAGGGAGACCGTTTCAAAAAAGACCAAAAAAAGAAAAGCCTGCCTCACCATGTCTTTAACACCTACAGAGCAAACCCATCCAGATCCCTGGCCTTGAGCTACCAGGTAGAGGATCCAATCCAAGTTGGGCGGTGGTGCAATGAGAATCAGGATTGTCAAGTTTGAGGTAGAGGGATGGGACCTAGGACTGAGCAGCACCCCAGTCCAGAACCCAAGGTTGACTGGGTGAATCAGGATGGCCAGTTTAGTGTGCATAAGGCTGAGAACAGACACTAGAAGGGGACTCTGCAGAATCAACAGAAGATGTATAGAGGACCGCATATGGTAGGGGAGAGAGCAGTGCCATGCTTGGGAAGATGGATTGGAACCAGAATCCCAGGGAGTCTCTGATGCAGTGGGGAACTGCCCTCTCAGGAGTTGGGACCCCACCTGAAGGAAGGGTAGCAGGAAGTGGAGTGAGCAGAGAGAGACCCAGGGCTACACCCACCCATCCGTCCAAGGGGTATCTGGCTAGTTTCCGGCATGGAACACAATACTCAAGGGGGCTGGAAAGATGGCCCAGCAGTCATGAGGACCTGGGTTCAGTTCCAGGGGATCAGAGTCCCTCTTCTGGCCCCTGTGGGCATTGCACACAGACACACAATAAAGTTCCATGGGAAAAAAAAACTAGGAGAATCAAGCAGGGCAGTTCTATCCATCCACCAAGGCATTGACTATGCCAGTCAGCACTGGCTTGAGAACTTCGTTTCCACTGGATGTGTGACATAGCACACCTGTCATCCCAGCACTCAGGTGGCTGCAAAGGACCTCAAGTTGAAGGCTTGCCTGGGCCTGGGTTTAGACAGTGTCAAAAAAGTGAGCATTCTCCCAGCAGGTAGCAAACCCCTCTTTCCTGTAAAGACTGACAGGGTATCAGGCTGCCTGTTCAGCATTGTACATCTCTTGATGGCAGTCTCCAATCCTGAGGGATCTCCAGGTGAGGGTGGGGCAGCCTGTTCTTGCCGGCCCACCCCAGACTGTACTCCAGCCTGGCCTCCCAGACATGAAGACCACCATCTCCCGGCCTCCCCCAGCACACCCAAGACCAGAGAACCAGGACAGTACATCTAGAGGAGAGGCTCTCACAGCCAAGACTGAAGATGACCAATTGGAGCCTCCCCGTGCTCACGGCCTGAACCAACCCCACCAAGACACCTGTGACCTGTCCTGCCCACTCCCAGGTAAGCAGTGGTCTAGAACAGGGAAGGAGGAGGACACATGGCCCGGCTTGGCCTCATCCCCGACCCCATTAAGGACATGGCAGTGGAGACTGGACAGGCTTTATTGGTTACTTGAGGGGGATGAAGCGGGAGGAGTGGGTGGCACCGATGCCAGGCCGGCCATGCTTCACAGGCTTGTAGGTGATGGAGAACTCCCCCAGGTAGTGGCCGATCATCTCAGGCTGCAGGGAGAGAGAGTCAGCATGGAAGCTGGGTTGCTCGGACCTGCCCACCCCAAGAGGCTGCACACACCTTGATCTCCACCTGGTTGAAAGTCTTGCCGTTGTACACGCCCACCATACTGCCCACCATCTCCGGCAAGATGATCATGTCTCGGAGGTGTGTCTTTACCACCTCGGGCTTCTCCATGGGCGGAGCCTCCTTCTTGGCCTTGCGCAGGCGCTTGAGCAGCGAGTGCTGCTTCCTCCGCAGGCCGCGGTTGAGGCGGCGCCGCTGGCGAGCACTGTACAGCTGCATGAGCTGCTCGCTGCAGGGACAGGGGTCATGGCTACATGGATGCCCAAGGACATAAGGCTGTAACCCTGCTGTGTACTAGCACGGAAAATTCCGGAACCATCGAGGCCAAGTAGCTCAAAGACCTCGGCTTTATAGCACAGGCCTTTAAGCCCAGCACTCAGGAGAGAGCAGATGGGTGTCTGTGAGATTGAGGCCAGCCCGGGCTACAGGGAAACCGTGCCCGCCCGCCCCCCCCCCCGAAAAAAATCCACTAGGAGATGGCTCAGCGATTAGTTGAGCTTGCAGTTCTTGCAGAGGACCTGGAGTGGGTTCCAGCACCCACGCGGTATCTAACATCCGGAACGCCCCTCTTCTGGCCTCCGTTGGTTTTGCATGACATGGGTGCACTTACATAGACGCAGGCCAAACACTCACACACATTAAGGGAAAAAAAAAAACAAAAACAAGAAGAAAAAACACTAATTCACTAAGGCAAAGCCCCCTGTACAGCCCTCGGAACAGGAAACACAGACCTGGGGTCACCCCTAGATTCCAAGGCCCCTCAGAAGCCTCCTGAAACCCACAGGAAATGACATCAGCTTATCGAAAGACCGCCTTTCTGTATTTCAACCCCCCAACCCTAGGCTCGGATTCACCCACCACCAGCCAACTATTCTCAACCACTCCTGTTATCTCAGTTACCAGGATTCTAAGGCAGAGGCCAGCTTTGGCTGCATAACCACACTGAGTCCAAATACAAGGCAAAACTGAAGTAAGTTGGTAAAATGCTTGTAGCTCAGTTGGCAGAGTACTCGTAGCTTAACTGTTAGAAGACTTATAGGCTCTGTCCCAGTACTAAGGAGGCTGGGGCAGGAGGATCAGGAGTTGAGGCCAGCTTGGACTCTCTGAGACCCTTTCTCAAAAAAAGTGAAAATGGGTGTGTGGTTCAGTGCTGGGTCCCTGGGGCGGCATTAAAATGTGCAAAACCATCAGAAACCAACCATGCCTGAGGAGGGAGCCCGGGGTCTCTTACTAGGACATGTCCAGCAGCTGGTCCAGGTCCACGCCGCGGTAGGTGAACTTTCGGAAGGTCCGCTTCTTCTTCTGCTCCACTTCCGCCTGCGTAAGCGCGGGACAGGGGTCAGCGGTGGCCCGCGATGCTTCCTCGGGTCCCCCGGAACCCAAGCGCCGGGGTTCGGTCAGCTACAGCCCGGTCGGTAGAGGCCGGTGCGCTCCGAGCTAAGAGGGCCCAGGGGCTCAGAGCCCTGCGCGGCCCCGTCCGTCCACCTGATCTCCACGTCCGCCCCGCACCCCCCGAGGACGCGAGCTTATCGCACGGTCCCAAATCAGTCAGCCCGACTCCCAGCACGCCACCCGTCGAGCAGATGGCGGCGGATAGCCCGCGTCTGAGGCGCTCACATGCGCTACTCACCATCTTGCCGGCTGCGGGGGAAAGAACGCGTAGCTGGCGCCTGCGCAGTTATCCAGAACTGCGCCCGGAAACCACTCCCTCGCCGGCCACACATACGCTCCCGCCCCCAGAGCACGTCTCGCGCCCCCAGTGGTGTGGAAGGCGCAGCGCAGGGGCGTGGGCCCTGAGGCCGTTCTTTTGTTTCTCCACAGGTTTGCACTGAGTCCAGGCTGGCCTCGAACTCACAACAATCCCCATCTCCGCCAGACTTTTTTGGGGGTGGGGGTGGGGGGGTGTCTTATTAGGCAGGGTCTCCCTGTAGCCCCAGCTGGCCTGGATTCGCCATGTAGACCAGGCTGGTGGCCTAGAACTCACAGAGATCCACCTGCTTCTGCCTCCCAAGCGCTGGGACTAAAGGCCTGCGCCGCCAAGCCTGGCTTATTTTTGAGATGGGTTTTCAAGTGGGCTAGTCTGCAACTGGCTACATAGACGGGGCTGGCTTCAAATCCAGAGATCTGCCTGCCACTATGCCCAGCAAGGAGACACTTTGTTTTGCAAACAAGATCTCACTATGTAGTCCATGTGAGCCTCAAGCTCTCCATCGTCCTGTCTCAGCCTCCTCAGAGTGGGGATGACCCCAAGTGTGTGGCTGCCTCAGATACCCACTTTGACTGCATTTACTGAGCATCTATATTAAAGTAGTTGTGTCTTGAGGTTCCAAGCCCACCAGGGGAAACAAAGGTACCATAAATGTCAGAGCAGAGCACAGGGAAGGGGCAGAGTCCTGGCTTCCCTGAAACAGACATAAAACTAAATAAAAGTACTAACTGAACTGCACTCGGGACGAAGAAGCTGGTGGACCTCTGTGAATTCAAGACCAGCCTGGGCTACATAGTGAGACCTTGTCTCAAAAAGTGGAGGGCATCTTGGCTTGTTGCACATACACTGAGGCACTGGGTTCATTCCCAGCACCACGTAAACCAACAGTGGTGTCAAACCTGTCATCCCAGCATGGGGGGGGAGGCAGATTAGGTGTTCAGGGTCATCTTTGCCATGAGTTCAAGGGTAACCTAGACTACGAGACCCTGTCTCAAATAAAATGTTATTCATGTTCTGGGAGGCTGAAGCAGGAGGGTTGTTGAGTTCCAGGTGAGCTGGGGCTACTGTCTTCAAACAAACCGGACAGATGTCTCAGTGGCTCAAGCGATTGCCAAGCAGGTATGAGGACCAGAGCTCAGACTCCCAGAAACCCATGTAAATGCCAGGTAGGTATGGCAGCCCACCTGTAATTCCATAATGGGAAGGCAGAGATGGTAGCCTGAGCAGGCTGGCATGAACCCTTGGGTATAACTGATAGACCTTACCAAATCCTGGGACTAGGCCAGTAAAGTGAGGTAGCCTATTCCTGGTCTTCACAGGTTGTCTACTGTATGTGAGGGCTCCTGGGTGGGGGGGCACTGCTGAGCCATTTGCACTGAGTGGTAGGCATCTACCTCCCTGGCTCACTACAAGCAGAGGGGAGCCTCCCCACACTCACCATGTTTCTGGAGCCGTGGCTGCCAGCAGTCTCCCTCAACTCAAGCATGACTAGTGCTCATGTCCAGGGTGCTTTGGGGTTTTGTTTTTTTGTTTTTTTTGAAGCAGGGTCTCCCTGTAGCCCCAGCTGTTCTGGAACTCACTATGTAGACCAGACTGGCCTTGAACTCACAGAGATACTCCTGCCTCTGCCTCCCAAGCGCTGGGATTAAGGGGTGTATCACTACACCCTGCATGTTTGACAGGATCTCATTTAGCACTGGTTGGCTTCAAACTCACTATGTAGCCAAACATGACCCTGAACTCATCAGGTGTGTGCTCTGCTAAATGAGCCACAAATTTGTTATTTTTTGGACGGGTTTCCCTGTAGCCCTGACCCACCTGGAACTATGTAGACCAGGCTGGCCTCAGTCTCGAGATCTACCTGCCTCTGCCTCCTGAATGCTTGGATTAGATGTGGGCCACCACACCGGTTGTCACAGCCACATTTTTTAAAGGTTTACTTTACATGTGTTGAGTGTTGAGCCTGCATGTATGCAAGTATACCACGTCTGTTCCACAAGGGTCATAAGAGGGTGTCAGATCCCCCTGAAACTGGAGTTACAGGTGATTGTCAGCTGCCATGTGAGAGCTGGGAACTAGACCTAGGTCCTCTCCAAGAGCAGCCAGTGCTCTTAACCGCTGAGGACCTCACTCTAAATTTTTTATTGTGTGTACACCCCAGGTGCCTGTTGGAGCAGAGGGTAACTCTGTGCAGTCTGTTATCTCCTTCCACTTTTACAAGGGTTATGATTTCAAACTTAGGTCACCGGGCTGGCAAGGCAAGTATTCTTACCTGCTGAGCCATGTCAGAGGCCCCAAGCCTACTAGTATGATATTTCTAAGCCCTGGTCATGGTGGCGACACTTGGATTCCAGGAACACTGGCCGCAAGCCATGTTCCCTGCAGTACTGTGTAGGACCTGTGGATGTCACTTCAAGGCCAAACTTGAGGCTTTACGGGCTGGGCCTATTTCTTAAGACTCTGGCACATCCCACTCCCCTTCAATGGGTCAACAATGGCTGTCCTGTCCCCACTTCTCACAGAGCTGTGGTCAGGCCCCTCCCAGCAGACAGGGACAGAAGCCAAGACACACAAGCCAAGACACAGCAGACACCAAGCGGGCTCTGATCCGAACGTGCTGCTTTATTCAAACCGGGTCAAACTGTTAAATGGGACCCCAAGCCCTGCAGCGGGGCCTCCAGTAAGCCCCCAGACTCGGGTGCAGGGCCCAGGCCACCTGTGATGTCACCACTACCTCTGCACCAGGCGCCCCACCACCTACTGCAGCCACGTAAGCAGCTGCTGAAAGGAAGGAGAGAGAGAGAGAGAACCAAACACTCAGTAGACTCCGCCCCAGTCGGGCCGCTCCCCCACCCTGCTTTAAATTAAAAAATAAGCCAGTATACATTGTAGAAAATTTCTCTTAAAAAATCTCACAATTTGTAAATGTATATTTTTCTTTAACATAAAAGTTTACAATATACGGTAAAACAAAAAGGCTCAGGAAAATAATTTCCAAAAAAAGAGAAAAAGAAACCTGAAATTTTGAATTAAAGCTGAAGGCATTTTTACTTAAACCCTGTTGTTGAACAAGTGACTTGCTTTTTATTGTGCTGATGGGTCAGAGAAAAGAAAAATATTGAAAACCTCAGTCCAGACGCGGCCTGGCAGCCCCCCAGGTCAAGTGGTTGATGCTCTGCCGTGTGATTGTCCCGAGTTCACAGTCCGAATCCTCGCGTGGCCCGGCAGCCTAGCGCCGGTAGGGGTGGAAGCCCTGCACATTGTGGTTCTGGCCACGTCCGAAGCCGCTGCCACCAGCGGGGGGTCCTCCAGAGCCCGGTACTGAGGGACCCCCATAGGAGGGTGGCTGCTGGCTGGGGTCTGAGAAGCCCTGGCCGAAGCCGCTCAAGTCCTGCCCGTAACCTGCGGAAGGCATACCCACTTACTGAAGGACTCGGGGCCTGACAGCACCTAGGCCAGCCTTGGCTCTGTGGGGGCCATGGGGAGACAGGTCACAGGCAAGAGCAGTGCCCATGGCTCCCAGGCCCCAGGCAGGGTCTCACCTAGGGAGACCTCAGGCTGCACAACCATTACCAGCCCCATCTCCAAGCCCCAGCCCATGGTACTCACACTCACCACAGCAGCCTGGAAACAGACTGCAGTTGATGACATGTGACCAACAGGGCAGTCTTGGGGTACAGCCTAACTTCCCAATGACCCCTTCAGCCCAGCAGACCTCATGTCCATAAACAGGCCCCTGCCAACCCCAGGCATGGGAGAAGCTTCCAGAGACCCACAGCCATCTTCTGTCCACCAGGCCAATTGTGCAGGATACACTGAGCACCTACCATGCATCCATCCCAAGGCTGTGTGGACCCAGGTCTGCCTTGGGCTTGTGGTTGCCTCTGGTCCTGAGACTGGTCGGGGCCACAGTGAGTAGGAGGGCAGCACCCACCTAGACCCAATCCATGCTCAGCCTCACCAAGGTAAGGGATGGGCAGCCTGAGCCCAGGGCTCACAACATGCACCCAGGCCTGGTGAGAGCCCAGAGCAGGGAAACTCGCCTAGGGTAGCCCAGCATGAAGTTCTACAGGAGCCTGCAGCCACACCCCAGCAGGGCTGTCCTGCTCAAGAATCAACTTTGGAGCACACCTTTATTCCCAGGACTCAGGAGGCAGAGCCAGGTGAATCTCTGTGAGAATGAGGCTAGCCTGACCTACATATAGAGTTCCATGTCAGCTGGGGAATACGGGGAGACCCTGTCTCAAAACAAAACAAAAAATCCTGAGAGCGGTGGAACACTCATGCCACTGAGGAGGCTGAGGCAGAAGAAACTTGGGGTTCAGGGCCAGCCTGGGCTATATAGGGTGGAATTTTATTTCCCCAGAAAAGAGACTGCAGCACTGGCAGCTCTTACAGAGGATCCAGGCTTTCCCAACACCCACATAGCAGCTCACAACCTCTAGTTCCAAGGGATCCACCACCCTCCTGTAACCTCCCTGGTCACTTCATGCACTTACATACATGCAAGCACTATATGATATAAAAATAAAAAAACTTTTTTTTTTTTCAAAAAGAAAAGGAATGGGGGCCAACAAGATGGCTCAGCTGGTAAAGGCATTCAACACCAAGTCTGACAACACGGAACTTGACCCCAAGAACATCCATGATGGGAAGAAAGAACTCAACCTCAACTGTCCTGACATTCAGATGTGTGCCATGCTACACACATGTACGCATAAACACATCCACATAAAATAAATATGTAAATTTAAAGCATCTAAATAAGCAAAAAAGCTTAAAAGAGGACTGAGGGCGAGGCTGCTGGAGAGGTCCTTGCCTACCATGTTTGAGGTGGGGGGAGAGGCTCTGCAGGGAGAGGCTCTGGGTGAAGGGCTGAAGACAGCCTGCCTGAGAAGGCCATATGGAGCTGTGTGCCCAAGCCCCTCCCAGGCTGCCTGTCCTACCGGGTGACAGCAGCCAGACCCACCTAAGCAGCTGGCATGCGTGACAATCTCATGAGTGCACCTGGACTGCCCACACCGCAGACTGTGTATTCTGGTCTGTGGCTGCTCGGCAGAGGAGCTCCCCCAAAATATGGCTGTAAGTGGTGGGGCCCAAGGCCACCCTGACAAGGAAAGGCTCAGAAAGCAGCTCTGGGAGCCTGGTGCCCCCACAGGGCCAGCACCAAGTCAAGTGGTGTCTAAGATCCTGTCTTGGGAGGGGAAGGCAGCCAAAGACACTCACAATCCTGACCACTTACCATACTGACCATAGGGGAAGTCCGGCTGGGCCGCCGGGGGTTTGCTCATGTCAGGGGCAGCCTGCGATGGAGGCGGTGGGAAGGCCAGCGGGGCAGCCCCTGGGGTGGCAGGTGGAGGAGGGACCCCTGGAGGGGCGAACTGATCAGGTGGTGGGGGTGGAGGCCCATAGCCAAAGCCTGTGGATAAGAGAGCGAGGTGCTGAACGCAGTCACGGTGGCCGTGGGCACCGTTCACTCAACACGACACACAGGAGGGCAGGGGCTCCCAGCCTGGACCACCGCTCTTCGCAGATGCAGGCGACAGTGCCCAGCGGCAGGAAACCAGGAAATCCAGGTCAAACTTCAGGACTGGCACCCAAGGGTCCTAGGCTCCAGCCCAGCACCAGAGGATTCAGCTACCAGCAAAACCCACCATTAGTCCTCATGTTGGTTACCTAAGTTGATGCTCGGTGAGGCACAGGCCAGGCTAGGCAAACTGGGCCTGGGCTAGCGGCTCTGCCTCTCAGGCCCTACTGCTGTCCCCAATGAATTACAGAGTGAGGCTATGGTTCTGAGCTGGCAAACCCTTTCCCCAAAGCCCCTCCACCACCCAGGAACTGGAACAGAACCCTGCACTTGGGTACAGCAGGATGGTACTCACTGAACTGTGGCGGAGCGCCATAGCCCTGCGGGAAACCTTGTGGCGGGGGGAAGCCTCCAGGCGGTGTGGACACAATATAGGAAGTGAAGGGCGGTGGTGGTGGTGGAGCTCCTCTGCCCGCGGGCGGTGGTCCATAGCCACCTGCAACATAGAGTGAGTGAGTGCAGGGTGGACACCCAGCACAGCCCAGACCCAGGCCAAGGCCACAGCCTCTGCCTGGGTACCAGTGCCCCAGCGCCCGCAGCATGGTGGACCAGCAGGGGACTCTGATCCCTCTGCACACGACTCACCAATCGCCTGTCCTGCTGGCACCCACATTCCTAGACGGAAAACAAGAGAAGGTGCCAGTTAGCCTCCAGAGTCAAAGTGACTTTGCCTGGAGTCGCTCAGGAAGCTCTGGGTGTGCCCTTTTTTCAAGAGGTGTGATGAGAGAGAGGGGCACTGTCCCGTGGCCAGGGTCCCCAAATTAATCAAAAGAAAATTATCTGGGTACCAGCACACATGGCTCTTTTCTCCTAACCTCAGGCCATGATGGACTGCTCCCTCAACCCATGAGCCACAACAAACCCACGCTTTCCTCAGTTGCTCAGCACCCAGCGACAGTGATCTCACCCTCACAGGAGAGCCCATCTCCTGGGTGAGACCCTCCTCGTCACCTCTGCTGGGTAACGTGCTGGTTGCACACACAGGGCCTCTGCACAAAGGACATGGGACATCCGGCCAAGGTGTCCTACTATGTCTGCCATCCTAGCATTTGGGCAGCTGAGGCAGGAGGTGGGAAAGCTCAAGGCCAGCCTGGGATACAGAGACCAACCATGTCCCAAAGGAAAGGGGGGAAAAAAGAGATGGTCTCTCTGGGGCACAGGGCAGCATGCACACCCGCCTGGCATGTGTGACCAAAGTTCATCTCCAGCACTGGGGAAAAAAAGCTATGTACCATGGGAATATTCTAGAAAAATGGAGGTGCTAGCTACATACTTGGATGCACACTGGAGCCTTGACAGTGGCCTGGGGCCCTCATGGGTCCCTTAAGCACCACTAGGCACCAGACAGGGCTGGGCAGAGGGCTACACACTTGGCCTGACGCCATCACAGAGAGGGCCAGCACCCAGGGCCGCCCTGTAGGCCTATGTTGAAGGAGGCTGGGAGAGGCCCTTCCTGTAGCCTGATAGCTGCTCCAGTGACAATACCAGCGCCCCCACCCTGGACAGGGAGGTGGCCAATGCTGGCAATGCCCTCTTGATGGAGAGGGAGCCCATACCAGCAGCAGCGGGCTCTCGCCTTACCTTGTGGACCGTATCCTTGTTGCCACGTGGGTGGGGGCTGACCTGCCCAGCCGTTGGCGGCACTGGGCGCAACTCGGCTGCCCCACTGGCTGGCTCCTGGCTGTCCCGGTGCTTGGTTTTTGCTGTCCCGAGGCTCAGCCCGTTTAACCTCCACCTAAACAAACGGGAGTGCACTTCAGGGGGGAGCTGTAGCCGTGCCCCGGCCCTTCAGACACACCCTCGGTGACTTAAGACTACACTTAGCACCTTATGACTTACATTATCTACTTAACTACGAAGCTTATGTAGGCCAGTAGGTTTTTTTCTTTAAAAAAAAAAAAATCTCTTTGCTTTTTATAATTTTTTATAAAAAATGTTTCTCAGGTACAACAGATGCATTGGGAAGACGGCCTGTGGCCCCCACTGCAAGCAGCACGGACCCAAAAGCCCTCGGGAGACGGCCACAGTGGGGCACCAAGGGTGCCCCACTTAGGGCACCCCGCATAGGGCGGAGGCAGCCTCCTTCACCCAGGACAGTCCCCCGCCCCCAAATACCTGAGAAACACGCTGGCTTTGACTCCATTATTTAACATCTAGTGGAAGATAAAGACTTACCTTCCCCAGGCTAACGCTCAAGGAAGCTCATTTAACTCAGAGGGAATGTATGTAAGAACCTTACGGTACAGCTAACGAAAAAGTCAACAAACATGCAATAAAATGGACATCGGGATCAGTAAGCAATCTTCATACTGTGTTAAAGACAGCAGCCCAGCCCGGGCAAGGGACAAGGAGGCAGTAGGTAGCAAGGGTGCTAAGGGAAGCTGACAGCGTAGGCCCACCTTGCTCTCCACTGGGGTACCGAGGACAGTGGCCCCTCCCTAGGGTGCCTATTGCCAGGGTTAGGCTCAGGGCACAAGCTCCAGCGGGTGGGAGGTGCTGAGCACAGTACCTTGGCTCCCTGTGAGAGAACCCCAAGGACACTAAGGCAGGCACTAGATGCGTCTCAGGGCATGGTGGCAAGGAACAGGAGGGTGTTTGACAGCACCAGGTTAACAGCCTTGGGGCTCTGGGGGATGTGGCTTCTGCTTCCAGAACAGTCTGTCATCTTAAGACAGTGCCACATGCTGCTTCAAGAACTCAGGCTGTGGCTCCTCAGTCTGGGGTTCAATCAACACGCAGTGCCAGCTCCAGACCCCCAGAATCACTCAGGGTCTACACTGACCAGTGAAGGTCAGCTATGGGCAGGCTGCAGTGCCCAGGGGAGGCAGTTGAGGACAAACAGTACTGTACGACCCTGAGGGGTATGCGGATGGAGATGGAAGCCGGCTCTCCACATTGGGTGGTCACTGGACCCCCACCATTGCACAGAAACCCTGGCCATAACTGCCGGCTGCAGTGTCCCTGCAGTCTGCATGCTGGCTTAGACTTAGGCTGCAGGGAAGGGAGCCCCAGGGCTGCCTCAGCAGGGTCCTTCTAGAAGGAACAGAGCCTGCTGCCTAGCCCAGGACATGGGACACCTTGTTCCTCTGCTGCCAAGGATGGAGAGTCAAGCACAGGCATCCACAGGAGTTGCAGGTATCATCCCGGGGCTGAGCAGAATGGGCTTTGGGAGCTGGGAAGGCCTGGCCTGCCGGGCCACCATGGCGACCACACAGTATGAAGACAAACACCATAGGTCACTTGACTGCACGTGGTTGGTTAAGGGCTATCAAGAGCATGTGGCTGTCCCGGAGTTTCACAGTAAGTGACCCAATTGAGAACCAATCCTTCAGGATGTTTAATGTGCTCAGTTGAGAGCGGAACCTCACTGCTGAGGCTCCTGCTCAGCAAGGTCAGCAAGGTCAGCAAGGTCAGCAAGGTCACTGGTACACAAGGGGCGGGGCCACATCTGAAGGAGTGGTCAAGGAAACCAAGCCTCAGGCAACGCTGGGGTCTCACTGGAGGCTACCCACCCCCCAGAGTCCACCCCACCACCCAGGCCCGCGCAGGCCAAGGCCTGTGGGGACCGCTTGACCAGGGACCCCAGCTTCCCAGTGATACCCCTCAGTTGCCTGAGGCTCAGCTTGGTCTTAAGGTAAAATAAAACTACAACTACACACTTTTTTGCCCATGATGTCGTGAAAATGCATGTTGACAGCCTGGTCCACTGATTGCTCGTCCTCGAAAGTAATAAATCCAAAACCTAGCCAACGACGAAGAGTGAATCAAGGTAGCAGGGCGTGGGACACAAAACAGGATGATGAACAGTATCAGGGTGCCACGGGGGCGAGCTGGCTTGCAGTCAAGGCCTGTGTGGGGGAAGCCCACCTGGGGCTGGGATGGCAGGCGGGCACAGGTGGACACTGACATCCACCCTCCCCAGGCTGAGCAAGGCCAGTGGGGAGCTGGGGCGTTGGGGTTGGGAGGATGGGGGGGCATGGTATGGGGTGTGTGATGTGTGCTGGCTGCTCTCCTGAAACCCAGCTTCGCCCCCGGGGTTTGCAATTGGCTTGGCAGCTAGTGCTGACAGCAGCAGGCCACTGCTCTAAGCTTAACGAGTACGGTTCCTATGGTGAGCGCCTCGCCAGGCTTACCCAACGCTGTTGGCTAAGCCCGCGGAGTCCTACCGTCTAACGATGCTACGCTTCTATGCACGTATGACACAGTAAATACAGGTAATAATACACAGAGATACAGGCCACAATGGATTCCAGCAGCTCAGACTCTGCTGTCAGCAGCAACAGCAAGAGGCATGGTGTCATCAAAAAAGAAAAAAAGAAAAAGAAAAAAAAGAAAAAGAAAAAAAAAAGGAAAAAAAGAAAAAAAAGGAAAAGAAAATTTCAAAGGAAAAAAAATTTAGCATTTCCCAAACACAAGAAAAGTGGCAGTATAAACGAAGTTTGGTTGGTCTGGGTCGAGCGCGGCCACCCGGCTAACGGGGCAGGAGGGACAGGGCCTCTGGCCTCCCGCCAAGGCTGAGCGCTCGGGCCCAGAGCTGGGGGAACAGAGGGCAAGGGGACTAGAGAGCTGAAACGGGATGGTGTGACAGGCTCTCCATCACTATGGCAGGGGAGTGGGGAAAGGATGGCCTGGGGATTGGACTTCAAGCTCATGAGATGGGGTGCTGAGCTCAGCAGGAAGCAGCCCAGGCAGAAAGTGGGGGCCTGCTCTGTCCTGGGCATGCATGAGCATATATATGGCATCGGGGCCGGAGAGGACAGAGGAAGACGAGACAGAGGGGAGAATGGAGGGAGCAAGTGTAGAGAAAGAGGACAAAGGGCGAGAGATCAGAGACGGAGGACAAAGGGGAAGGACACAGAGGAAGAGTGGATGGAGAAGAGAATGGAACATGGAGGGAGAGGATGAGGGCAGACAGGAGGAGGAGACAAAGGGGAACTGTGAAAGGCTGGCACAGAGGAGCCAGAGGCCGAAGAGAACAGGACAGAGGACAGAGGAAAGTAGGGAGCAAGTGATGTTAGGAATGTGGTGACGGGAGGGTGTGCTACGTGAAGTCAAGGGACGGAGAGCAGGAAGGAGAAGGGGACTGAGACCGACCGAGATCCTGCAAGAGTCAGAAAGCTAGGACAGGAAGTTCTGGGCCCGCTGACCGCCCACTATCTGCAACCCATGGGGACACTTCCAAGCCCAATGGGGACAGCCCACAAGCCAGCCCCGAAGCTCTTGGCCCAGCTCCTGCACCCTCCAGCACGGGTCAGCAACACTAGCTGGGTCCGGCTGGGTCCAGCTGGGCCGGGCCGGGCCACGGCGGCAGCTGTGCCAGCCGGGCCCTGCCAGTTGGGGGCTGTGGCAGCCGGGGTGGGAGCACCTAGGAGCAGCCCTCGGAGTCCCGCACCGAGGCTTCACAAGGTCAGAGGCAGTATTTAGAACACAACATAGTGATGAAGATGTGAGAAGTTGACATTTTCTCAGACGGCGGGAGTGTCTGCAGCCACCTGGTGGGCTGGGTCCGGGCACAGTGCAAGAGGCGGTGGGCCGTGGGGGAGGAGCCAGGGCGGGACACGCTCGCTCTGTGTCATGTCAGAGGCGGCAGCGGGACAAACACACTGAAACTTCGTTTACACCCCACGGGAGCGAAGCCGCTCCGTCCTCTGACTGCGGACGGGCCTGTACCTGTGTGACTTAACTTAGCACCTGGAGAGAGATCTAGAGAGACATGGTTAATCACAGACATCACAGAGAGAGGAGACAGCTTACTTATCGTACCGTACTCTATGCACTACGTACGTCATTAAGCATGTATGTCTATGTAATTAAGACTAAGACTTAACACTAAACCACAGAGTGAGAGGTGCATCCTGCACAGTGGAGCCTCAAATGGCAAACTATGCTCCCAATGGTGCCTGCTCGGGACCCAGGCAGGTGGGATGTGTATGGGGACATGTGGGTGACAGTTGTGTAGGGTGAGGGACATGGAGTGAGGGTCACTGGGGTGAGGGTCACGAGGGGTAGAACGGTCCAGCCTAAAGTAGCTGTTGAACCAAAAATGTGGGTAACAAACAGCAAAAAAAAACAAAGGGGGTGTAAGAGTATACAGGAGTACTGGATGCTCAGGACCAGCTGGGCTGCACCCTGCCCAGCCCTCTGACTTAGAGGGAAAAACATGAAAAATAAAAATCACAGATGGGTAGAGGAAGCTCAGCCCAGGGGCTATGGGTATCAGGTAGGCAGAGGCAGTGTCATGAGGGGTGCCAAGCCTAACTTCAGTAGGCCTTTTAAAACACAAAGCCATGGGGATTTGTGTCAGGTGGTCAAAATGTCCCCAGGTGGCAAGAGCAGTATGTGGAGGGAGTGGAGAGTGTGGGGCTGCGTCGGACCATGTGGCCCATGTTGCTGGCTGCACAGCGTCCAACCCTGGCCTCTCTGGGGTGAGATAGTTTGCCATCTGAGGGGAGGGCACGGGTCGGGATAAACAGGCTTAACCCTTACCTCGAGGCCGCTGCTTCTCTGCATCATAGATCATGACCACCTCTGTGACCTGTGGGAGAAGGCAGGATGAGGTGGGTGCCTTAGACCTGCGTGGCCCCAGGATCAGATGCTGCCCAATAGCAGGTCAGCTAAGAGAGCCTACCACACAAAGAATGGCAGCCCTGGCCTGCACTCAGCCCGACACCCCCACCCCCACCCCCCCTGAGCAATCAGTGTCTACAGGCCATAAAAACACCACCACACCCGAGCACACCCGAACATGGTTCCTCGATGCTCAGGAGCCCACTGTGTACCCCACACAGCTGTTCTAAGTCCCCTGGTGCCTAGAAGGTTCCAGTCTGCTCCAGAAACAAGGTGGCGCCAGGAAAATCTCGGCCCCCTAGAGTTGCTGGGCTGTAGGGATATTGGGAACACCTCAATGCCTGGTGGCCTGTAGGTACCAGTTGGACAAGGAACTTTGCAGTGGGCAAACCCAGGCACCCAGGTGCCCCAGGGTTTAGGGACTTGGTCTAGCTAGGACCAGCCATGTGCTACCATGGGGAACTCCAATCAGGCCAACACTGGTGTTGGGAAGGTGAGGAACTCACCACTCCAAACTTCTTGAAGTACTCCCTGAGCTCTGTCTCCCCACAGTTGTGGGGGATGCCCCCCACGAAGATCTTGTTGGACTTGCTGCTGTCGCTCCTGGGGCCTTTCTGTAGTTGGGAACAAGGGGTCAGTCGTGACTGGGGGACTACCAGCCCCTAGGCTGGCCGCCATGCCACCCTTCAGGGGTTTTGTTGTCCCTTTTTTATGTTTTGTTTTGGTTTTTGGTTGAGACACGGTCTCCTTGTAGCCCCAGCTGGCCTGAAATGCACAGAGATTCACCTGCCTCTGCTTCCCAAGTGCTGGGATTAAAGGAATGTGCCCACACCTAGCTGTGTTGTCCTTTTTCAGACAGTGTCTTGTCATGTAGCCCAGGCTGGCCTGGAACTCATGGCAAACTTGCTCCTCATCCTCCCAAGAACTGGGACAACAGGTGTATTCCACTGGACACAGCCCCTAGCATGGCTTCTGTGACTCAGCTATGCCCCAAGAGATGGGCAACAAGGACACAGATCACATACATCCTGCATGCTATCCACAGCTACAGCCAGCAGGAGGATAAAAGCTGGGCACCTAGGGGTCAGCTGCAGACCAAGGTCAGCCCAACACAGAGTGACAGCCTGTTTCAAACAAATAAACCTGCACTGTAGGGCATGCAAGGTGGTTCAGTGGGAAAGGGGCTTGCCACCACCAAGTCTGATGACCTCTTTGAACCCTGGGAACCACACAGAAGGAGAACCGACTTCTGCAGGTTGTCCTTTGACCTCTACACACACAATAAATAAATGTAATTTTATTTTTTTGGTCTTTTTGAGACAAGGTCGCCCTGTAGCCCCAGCTGACATGAAAGTCCCAGAGATCCGCCTGCCTTTGCCTCCAGAGTGCTGGGACTAAAGGCATGTGCCACCATGCTTGGCTAAATAAATGTAATTTTAAAAAAAACAAAAGAAATTTAAGGATCCTGCAATGTAAACATAGATTTTGCAAATGTTTTTCTCACAGTGCTGGGCTGGCCCAGAACCTTGCATATGCCATGTAAGCACTCACCACTGACCTATATACCCAGAGCTAAGAAAGGGATTTGGGAAAGGTTAAAAAACAAAGGCAGCTTCAGGAGTGCCAGCTGGCCATGAAAAGCTGAAGACACAGGACCTAACAGCTCTGACAGCAGACAAGCCCCCGCCTTAATGCCCCCTGCTCTGCCTCCCACCCATCCTAGGATGCTGCACTCTGGTCACTACTCTAACTCTGTCCTCTGTTGTTTTAAAACAGGGTCTCCTGTAGCCCCAGCTTCCCTGGAACTCCTTAATGTAGACCAGGCTAGCCTCAATCTCAGAGATGCCTCTGCCTCCCAAGTGCTGGAATTAAAGGTGTGTGCCACCATACTCAGCTCCCTCTGTTCTCTTTTGGAGGATCCCACATGTCAAATGATCCTAACCACTTTGGGTTAAAAGAACAAACTTCTGCCAGGAGTGGTGGCGCACACCTTTAACCCAGCACTCGGGAGGCAGAGGCAGGCAGATCTCTGTGAATTCAAGGCCAGCCCCATCTACATAGTGAGTTCCAGGACAGCTGGGGCTACAGGGAGACCCTGTCTTAAAAAGACCAAAAAAAAAAAAAAAAGACTGAACTTCTGATCCAGCCACAGTGCCTCAGGCTTGCCATCCCTACATGCAGAAGGCTGAGGAAGGAGAATCCTGGGTTCCAGGCTGGCCTAGACTGGGATGCACTGGCCTTTAAGGGTGTCAGTGACAATGGCCTCACCCAAGTGAGCAGTTTGTATACACAGTGTGCCTCACTGTGTTACACAGCTGAGTCAGTCGCAGAGAGACCACCACCTTACAGATCAGTAGGGCAGCTATACACACAGGACCCAGAGTCCAGGGTCAGTTAAAGTGCAAGTCTAAAGGCGCCTGCACAGAAAAATTTACAATTTTTCTCTCCTTAAGAAATATCCTAAAAAGCTGGAAAGTAGCCAAACATGGTAGTGTACGCCTTTAATTCCAGCACTGGGAGACAGAGGCAGGTGGATCTTAGAGTTTAAGGCCAGGCTGGTTTACATAAGGAGTTCCAGGCGAGCTGTGGCTACATAGTGAGACACTATTTCAAAACAGTAAACAAAAAAAGGGGCTGGAGAACCAGGTCAGTGGTTAAGAGCACTGGCTGCTCTTAAAGAGGCTCAGAGTTTGGTTCCTAACACCCACATGGTGGCTAACAACCATCCATAACTCCAGTTCCAAGGGATCTGAAGCCCTCTTCTGAACTCCATGGGTATTACAAGCAGAGGCTCACTGACATACATGCAGGCAAACACTCAAAACATGTACAATAAAAATAAATTTTCAAAAAAATTTTTTTTGCCAGGTGTGGTGCATGCCTCTGGTCCCAGCACTTGGGAGGCAGAGACAAGCAGATCTCTGTGAATTTGAGTCCAGCCTGGTCTACATAGTGAGTTCCAGGCCAGGTGTGGCTACAGGGAGACCCTGTGTCAAAAAAACAATATAAAATTTTTTTAAAAAGGGAGCTGTAGAACTGGGTCAGTGATCAGGAGTACTGGCTGCTTTTGCAAAGTCCTAACACTAACAACTGTCTGTACCTCCAGTTCCTGAGGAATCTGAAGCCCTCTTCTGACTGCTGTGGGCTCACATACACGTAGGCAATACACTCAAAACACATAAAACAGAATTTTAAAAAATATGCTCTTGCTAGGCGTGGTGGCCCATGCCTTTAATCCCAGCACTCAGGAGGCAGAGGCAGACGGATCTCTGTGAGTTCGAGGCCAGCCTGGTCTACATAGTGAGTTCCAGGCCAGCTGGGGCTACAGGGAGACCCAGTCTCTAAAAGACCAAAAAGAAAAAAAAACATTAAAAAATTATTTTTTAAGTTGGAATACAGCAAGGCGTGGCAGGGCACACCTGTAACCTCAGCACCAGGGAGGCCAGGGCAGGAGGATTGCATGAACAAGCCTGGTCTACAGGGTGAGGACACCTCCCCCAAACAAATAAGCTGCTACGAAGGTCCAAGATGCTAGAGAGAATGGCCACAGGCCCTCAGCAAGGACAGAGGAGCTGCCTTTGCAGCGCAGGCCCACTAGGAACTGAAGACTGTACTGGGCAGGGAGCGCTGAGGTATGGCACAGACAAGGAGCAAGTGCCACACAAGGAACCTGCCTAATGGGTGGCATGAGCCACCCCATCCTCCCTAAGGACTCAAAGATCTATACCTGCTCAAGCAGGCACTGCCCAGCCCTCAATGGCCAACTCCCACTGGACGCCCACCACCCTCAGCCACCCTGTAGCAGTGCCCAGCCCAGTCTCACCCAGCCTTCCTTGGGCCTTGTCCGCTCCGGCTGCATCCCCCGAGGTGTGCAGGGCTTCGGGTCAATCTGTGGGAAGCATCAAGCCAACCCTGTGATCAGGAGGCCACTTTCTCTGCAAGGGGCAACACAACAACAGCCGCCGCCACAGCCAGCACTCAACCCAACTCCCGCCTTGGGCACCACAAGGCTCAACCCTTTAATGCACCCCACCTGCAACAGCCCAAACTCCACAGTCAGCCTTAGAGATTTGGGTAGGGACAGGAAGGCCTGCAAGTCACTTACATTCCGGCCATCCAGGGTGTGCGGTCTACTGGCCAGCACTGTCCCCACGCAGTTAGGGTCCTTAAACTTGACGAAGCCAAAGCCACGAGACTGGTTGGTGGTCTTGTCTTTCATGATGACGCAGTCCACAACTTCTCCATACTGTGAGAAGTAGCTGCGCAGAGTCTCTGTTCAGACATGACAGAGTGCACACTAACTTAGGCACACCCAAGCATGCACGCATGCACTCACACACACACACACAGAACTTAGGCACAAGGGTAAACACACACACACACACACACACACACACACACACACACACACGCACGCACACACGCACGCACACCAACCCCACCTCAGGGGTCACTGCACACTCTTCCAGCACATCAACCCCAGGGAACAGAGAGAACAGCTCTGCTCAGCAGCTCACTGCTGGGGAGGGGATGGGGGATGTGGGGTGTTGAGGGGACAAAGTGCAAGGGAAGGCCAAGGAGCACTCTGGGAACCATCCTGCCCTGGCTCCTGGGGACAGGCATGCTGGCTTCATAGCCAGCTCCATCCCAGCCAAGGGACATAGGCCAATGGCAGGCGATACGGTGGCAGGGTCAGCTCCTACCTTGTGTGGTGCTCCAGTCCAGGCCGCCCACAAAGAGCTTCCTGTAGGGAGAAGAGGGGGACTCAGCTGGCTCCCACCACCTCCCCAGCTCTCTGCTCGATCAGTCTCAGGGCACATGGGAGCTTCCATACTGCATCAGGCCCTGAGAAGTGACTGGAGTCCCACTGCATGACAGGTCATGTTACAGTTGCCAGCCTGGGCCTGAGGGTCACCAGACAACAAGACCAAGGCCAGCAGCCAGCTCAGGGCCCCCTGCAGCCTCTGGGTGGCTGCTGAAGGTCTCCAGCCTTGCCACAGGGTTGTGGGAATGGAGTGAGAGGCAGAGAGAGCAGGCCATCCTACTTGCTGACCCCAGGGAGACACTCAGAACAAGTCCCCGAGTAAGGGTACACGGAGCCACCTCCAAACCCAGTCACAACCTGAGACAAAAGAAGCCAGCCCACCTGGTTGGGAAAGCCATATCCCCATGTCCCTGTCCTCCATGGGCAGCCAAGTGCCCCATGCCCAGCCAGAGACTGAAAGCCCTGCTCAGTGAGCATGTAGGCCAGGGGCTTCCAGCCAGGTGGCTCTGCAGTGGCTGGTGGACCATGGGTGACCACACAAGTCTCTCATCTCTCAGGGGTGCTAGCCAGGTCTGGATGCGAGGCTTGAACCCAGAGGCCTCCTGCGGCTGATCTGTGCCAAGTGAGTCCCTTCTAGGCACACACGCAGTTAGCTAGAGGCCTCACTGCCACAGAAGCACATGTGTCCTCAGGCTGTAGCCTGGGGAGGGTAAGGTGATGCCTAAGAAAGCCCAAACAGTAAGCCTGGCTCTTGACAGAAGCTGCTGGCAGCAGGGCTCCAGAGAGAACAGGAGGCAGCAGCTCAGCCTGGGGCAGAGGGAGGAACTGGTTGGGCAGGTCCAGGCCCCAGAGATTTCAGACACCAGATGCCACAACGTGCCAAGGCTGGGTAGAGCTTGCCAGCAATGCCAGCTAGAGAAGCAGAGGAAGGGGATTTGAAGCTCCAGGCCAGGCCATGGATACTGTGGGCCTAATGCTGCCACATCTGGTGTTGTGTCACCTAAAGGTATGAAAGTTTGTGCTACTAAGCAAGTGTCACTCATGGAAGATGATGAGCTCACCTGAGGGTTCTCAGTACAGACTCTGCTGAGGCTTGACCTGGGCCCACTCCTGTTCAGAGAGACCATCATCTAAGACAGGCCAATCCTCACAGAGGGTTCTGGAAGAGTTCAGGATGAGGTTTGGTTTCCTTTGTGATTGTGCCAAACCCTAAGTCTGGAGTGGGAGCAGGTATCCAACAAGACAAGGTAATGGAAAACAGAGCCCTGGGGTCTACAGGCCGGACCCCTGAGTCCTTCAGAGGCTGACTGAGACCCAGGCCTACATGGGGGAAGGCATGGTGCTAGCACTTACAAACTGAAGAATGGAGAAGGTTCAGCTTTGTCAGGCCATGGCTGAAGCAGGTGGAGACTGACCTGCTTCATCCCACCCATGCTACAGAAACAGGACCCCAGGCCTCTTTGCCTGCAGGCCTCAAATAGCCCTGAGGCTCCCCAAAGCAGGCAGTACCCTGGTAGATCAGCAGAGTAGCTGCGTGGGGTGCCTGAGCCACTCAGGGCCCTGCAGGAGCACTTACCAGAACCAAGCAGAGCCAGACCAACCCCAGCCACTCTAGGCAGGGAAGGAAACAGAGCCATAGCCGTTCCCAGCTATGAGCCAGAGGCCTGCAGTTCATCCCTGGTACCTGCCCTCACCTACAGGATACAGGAGACCTACAGACAGAACACTCCTATAGCTGAAGGGCCCTGGCTTCTCATGACTGCTGGCTAGCCCAGCTGCTCTCGTATCATGAACAGCCCTGGCCCTCCAGTTACAGCCCCTGGTGACAGCCTCCAAGCCAACTTTAGTGTCACAGGTTCTAGGACAGTGTGAGAGGCCTGGCCTCTGCCTGAGGATGAGTGCAGAGACCTCCTGGAAAGTGATTGGGGGGGGGGGGCACTGGTGACAGGGATGAAATTAGTGAGGGTCATCATGCTGGCATACAGCCTGCCCCCAACCACAGTGACCAAAGAAAAACCAAGTGCTCACAGAAGCCAAGGCCAGGGAGCAAAGGCCCTTAGGGCACAGCTGGGGGCACAACAGGTGCAGCTGCAAATGATGAGGTGACAACAGAGCCACCTCCAACTGCAGCTCATTTATCCCCAGGGGGACCCTGGTCATGGCACTGGAGTGGAGACCAGGCCACTGCTCTGCACCCTATAAGCCCAGGATGACCTGAAGAGAAGCACCCTAAGCAGAGAGCTGGTTTGATCCCCAGCAAGGTCCCTACCCAGTCCAAGGCAGAACCTCAGTTGCCTTGGCCTGTGCCAACGGCTGTTCTTGGTAGGACAAAGAAACCCATCACGACAGACCTTACTGTGATTCAGCAGGATGCATTCACCCCAACCTCACATGTCCAGCCCCCACAAACCTCAGGGGTTTAGCCAACAGTCTGCACAGGGCAGAACCTCCAGGTCCCTGGCCCAAGCCAGAAGAAGGTACCCAGGCTACTGGCTCAGCCTTGGTGTGATTGTCCTGTGGACAGCACTTGGGGCACCAGAGGGACCTTCGAGACCCTCCTGTCCACGAGTGTCACTATGGGAGGTACAGGGCACAGTGGCCTGGGGCCCTGACACTCCAGCTCAGAATGTGACCCAGACTCTCCCACCTGGCACAGAGCACTTCTCCACCACTCCAGCAAGCAGGGTCACATATGGACCTCCAGCATGAACAGATATTACCAGAATGCTGAAAACCACAATGAACTCAGGGTGTAGCACCCACTTCAGCACTCTTGCAGAGACTCCAGCCCTTGGATTGGTCAGAGGGCTCAGTGAGTGAAGGTACTTGCCACCAGGCCTGATGATCTAAGCCTGACCTCTGGGGCCCACATGGTAGAAGGAGAACTGACTTCTGCAGGCTATCTTCTGACCTCCACATGTTCATCATAGCACAAATGTACCCATAGATACAAATAAATAAAATGTAAGAAAAATAAAGAAAAGGTAAAAATAAAGTAATAAAAACGTTGTTGATGGTACACACTTTTAATCCCAACACTGGGGAGACAAAGGCAGGTAGATCTCTGTGGTTATAGGGAGACCACATGTCTCAAAAAACAAGATTCCAGCTCAAATGTGAGGTGACCCCAACTATGGCCCCTGGGCTACCTTCCCAAGACCAGGTCCAAAGGGTAGTCCCAGGAGTCAGCGTCCACCTGCCATCCACTTATCCTGTGGAGAGGTGGCCTCTGCCTTGGTTGGCACTGAACAATGTATCCAAAGGAGAATGCAGGACAGCCTGTCATGCTGACTCCATTAGCAGCACCCAGGTTAGCCCTGGGGGTGGACAGAATCCCCTGTACCAAAGGACACTTGTCAGTTTCTTGGTAAGATTGCCACACACAGAGTGGCAGAGTACCCAGAGCCCATGGTTTAGAATTAGAAGCTGGGGTGTGGCTCTGTAATAGAGCCAGGCCCTGGTTCCACCCCCAGCACCAAAAACAAAAACCACTTGAAAATTCGCCATTAGGTCAGCTTTGGCAAGGGACACACAGAGCTGAGTCCTGTCCCATGCGTCCCCAACCATGCACTGTGCATGCTCCAGGTGCACAGCAGGTCTGTGCAGGGCTGCAGTGACCCAGCAGCGTCTGGCAAGGTACTCAGTGTCATGGAGGCCTGCCTTAGGACTGTCAGGTGGCCAGGGAGGCATCTGACCAGCCACTGGAAATGGTGCTTGGCCCTGGCCCTCCAGACACCACGCTCTGGGCACCGGAGGCCATAAAGCCGCCACTACACAGGCACCTGCTGTTCATGGCCATGGACAAATGTGACAGCTCCCTTCCCCACAGCACAGTGCTCAGGGCTGGAAACACCCTGCAGGAAGTACGCCCCTTCCTAGGGAAGCACCCCAGCTCCAGCCCCACTGTGCTTAAGCTCAACACCAAGGGCACTGGGCAATTCACATCCCACCAGAGGAAGGCGCCACATGCCGGCCAGACTCTCTCCACCAAATTCACAATAGCACTGCAGAACCAAGGCCCCCAAGGCACAGTGTGGAATCCCCGCCCCCCCATCCCAGGTTCTAAGAGTCATGGGTGGGGAAATGAGCCCACAATAGGCCTAGCCACATGTACTCACCCAAGTTCCTGCACCAGATGAGGGTGCCTCTGTGTCATACAGGGTCCCCTCAGCAGAAAATACAGAAGGCAGTGGCGAGGGATGCCCAAGGCCTACAGAGGTCACCCACAATATTTACTTGGGATCCCAAGAAACCCCAGGCTCCCAGCCCAAGTCCCTTCAGAACCCCAAGCTTGGGTGTCCTCAAACCCTATTTAGGGTTCCAGTTCCCTCAGGATCCTGTTTGTCACAGAACTCCCCACTTGGGGTTCCCCAGTGCTTGAACCCCTTTGGGAGGGTCTCCCTGACCCCTGGATTCCCATTTCAGATTCTACAGACTCATAAGCTTCCCTTTGGAGGCCCCCTCCAAGTCCTGTCTCTGGGTCTCCAAGCACTTGTCTTTGGAATCCCCTGGATCCTGAACTACATTTTGGGGTTTCCTTGATCCCTGAGCTCCTAAGCGAGGTCCTCACACTACCAGGCTGCCACTTCCCAGTCCCCAAGTCCCCTCTACCCATCCTCAGCCTCTCCACTATCATCTGGGGGTCTCCAAGCACACTGAGCTCCAGATGCCCTGCCTGCACAACCATTTGGGGGGTGTCTCCTGACTCCTAGGCTTTTCTTTGGGTCTCTCAGCAACCTATCTTTTGGGAGGGGGGGGTGTCTCATAGTCTCTAGGGACCTTCTTTGGGGTCTTTCAGTTCTCAAACTCTTCTTTGGAGATCCCCAGCTCCTCAAAACCATTTGAGGTGTCCCATAGCCTCATGAGCCATCCTTTGGAGTCTCCCCGACAGCCACACCCCAGTCTCCTTTCAGGTCCTCCTGACTCTTCACCTGTCCTTAGGTGCCTCTCTGACGCCAGGGCTCTGCTTTGGAGGTCCCAACACCTGAGCTAAACTTTAGGGTCTCCAGGGCTCCACTTAGGAGTCCTCCTACACCCTGACCTATTCTTTGGAGTTTCCTAGTCCCTGAATCATTTGATGCTTACCTGACAACCCCCCACATACACCCCAAGCTCCTCTCTAGAGCCCACAAGCTCAGTGAGTTTTCTTTTGAAATCTCCATGAGCCCCCAAGCTCTCATTTTAGAGGTTCCCATCCTCTCAATTATCCTTTGGGGCATGCCTGACTCCAGGTCTGCATTTTGGTGTCCCCTGGTTTGACCATCTCTTTTGGAGTCTCCCTGAACCCTGAGCTCTCAGGTAAGGTTCCACCAATGCCTAGAATTATTCTTTGGGGATTTCTCTGATCCCTGAACTCCCCTGTGGGTGTTCCCCAGTACATTTAATTATTTGGTTAGAAGTTATTTGATTAGAAGTCCCCCAACATCCTCTGCAGTCCTAACTCCAGGGATTCATTTAAGGGATCCCTCAGCATCCTGATCTATCCTTTGTGGTCTCCCTGACCCCTAAGCTTCCGTGTGGGGGTCTCCTAGGCCCCTGGGTTATCTTCTGAGGTCCCCCAGTTCTCCAGTTGTCTTTTTGGGGTTCACCCAGACCTCGGGATTATCTTGGTTATCTTTCAGGGTCCTACGGTTTCCTGCATTATTTTTGGGGTCCCCTGGTCCTGTGGGTGGCCTTTTGAGATTCCCCAATCCTCTGGTTTATCACTGGGAGTCCCACAGAGTCCTAGGTTATCTATTAGAGACCCTTGGTCGCCTGGGTTATCTTTCAGGGTCTCACAGTCCCCTGGTTGATCTTCTGGGGGTCCCTTGGACTCCTAGGCTAGCCACTGGGATTATCTTTTGGAGTTCCCTTGTCTCCTAGGTTATCTATTGGGAGTCCTCTGGGTTACCTTTTGGGGTTCCCCCGTCTCCGACGCTTATCTTTTGAGGTCCTGCAGCTCCCTGGTTTACCGTTAGGGATTCCCCTGTCTCCTAGGTTATGTTTTGGGATCCTCCAGTCGCCTGCGTTATCTGTTGGGACCCTGCAGTCCCCTTGATTATGGTTGGGGGTGTCCCTCATTTCCTAGGTTATGTTTCGATTCCCCCTCCCACCCTCCTAGGTTCTCCTCTAGGGTCCTCCCGCTCCTCGTCCTCCCGTTCTCCAGTTTCCGGCCTCCCGCTCCCGGTCTCCAACTACGAGTCCCGGCCTCACCCGATCTCGTCGGCGCCCGCGCTGTTCATGGCGCCCCGTGCGGCCCGCTGCGCAGCTCCTCCGGAAGGTCACCGCACGTCCCTCCCCGCGGCCGCGGCCCGGATCTGCGCAACGGCGGCGGCACTCAGCCTCCTCCCTCCGCGCCAACGGTCGCCGCGCGTCCCCGCGCCGCCGCGCCGCCGCCCTGCGCACACGCCCGTGCGCGCTCCCGCACGGGGCCTCCCGGGGCGGAGCCAGGGGCGCACTGCGCGTGCGTGCCTATGTGCGTGAAGACGCCGCACTCTGCGCCGGCGCGGTGGGGTTCGCCGAGGGACGCACTTCCGCCTTGTTGCCGTAATGCCTTCTGGGAAATGTAGTCCAAGGCGCTAACCGGCTTTGAGAAGCCCCTCGTTGCGGCCCAGCCACGTGCGTGCGTCCGCGTGCTCGCGGCGCTGGGCGCTGCGGGTCGTGCACGGCGCGCGCAGGCGCAGATGCGATTTCCCCTTTCTCCACTCACTAACCTCGAGCGCGCGTCGGGGGCCGTGATGGCTAAATCGCATGGCTGGGCGGGTGTGTGGCGTCTGCTGCCCGTTCACATGCCTCGCAGTGTCACCTCCCCATGGTGTTGCTTTTTCACAGAAGAAAATACTGAGGGTCACAGAGGCTTACACCTGCCCAAGGTCATTCAGTTAAGGCCCATAAGGGTCAAAGTTATACAGGTTGACTCTCCCGGAGAGAAACAGAACAGTCTTTGAAATACCACTAACATGGATAGCCAAACACTTTTACCATAAGCATTGTTTGGGGCCTTTTTTTTTTTGAGACAGGGTCTCACTCTGTAGACCAGGCAAATCCAACATCATCGTCTGGCCTCTACAAGCATTGTACAAACGTGGTGTGCTTACATACATGCAAGGAAAACACTCATGCACATAGAAAAATAAATAAGCAAGGCGTGGTGGTGCACATCTTTAATCCCAGCACCCAGGAGGCAGAGGCAGGTGAACTCTGCAAACTCAAGGCCAGCCTGGTCTACATAGTGAGTTCCAGGCCAGCTGGGGCTACAGGGAGACCCTGTCTCAAAAAGACCAAAAAAAAAATAATAAATTGAAGCCAGTTCTAGTGGTGCACACCTTTAATCCCAGCACTAGGAAGGCAGAGGCAGGTGGATCTCTGTGCAATCAAGGCTAGCCTGGGCTACATAGTTCCATAGTAATGAAAAAAACTAGAGAAGGGTGGCTGAGAGAGACACTCAGCATTGCCCCTTACCTCTATGGTGCTCATGCATAGCCATAGACACACATTAAACAAAACACTTGTTTTTTCCTTGGTGTGTAAGTACATTAAAGGCATGGCCCATATTTGGAGGTCAAAGGAAAGAAGTTAATTCTCTTTCCATTGCCTGGGTTCCAGGAATTGAACTCAGGTTATCAGGGTTGAAGGTAAGCACCTTTACTCACTGAATCTTCTCACTGGCCCTCAAGGAGAATGCTTCAAATAATGCACACAGTTGCCCTTTGAGGATCACGTGAATGAACAGTGAAGGCCAGATGGGTAAAAGGCACAGGATGTGGTCAAAACAAGGAAGCCAGACAAGAGTCTTTTTTTTTTAATATTTTATTATTTTTATTTTACATGTATGAGTGTTATGTCTGCATGTAAGTAAGTTAACCCGTGTCATGCAATGCCTGTGGAGGACAGAAGAGGCCGTCAGATCCCCTGGAACTGGAGTTACAGACAGTTGTTAGCTGCCATGTGGGTGCTGGGATTTGAACCTGGATCTTCTGCAAGAATAGTCAGTGTTCTTAACCGCTGAGCCATTTCTCCAGCCCCCAGGCAAGTCTTTTACAGTAATATATTGTAGCTCTCAGAGTTTAAAGGCCAGTCTGGGCTCCATGAGACCCTGTCTGAAAATGGACAAATGGCATTGAGATGGCTCTGGTTAGGAACATTGGCTGTTCTTGCAGAAGACCCTGTAACTCCAGTTCCAGGGGATCTGACGCCCTCTTCTGGCCTCCATAGGCATTGTACAACACGGGTATACTTACATGCAGGCAAACACACAAATAAAATAAAAATAAATATTTGTGGGTTTTTTTTTTTTTTTTAGTTCTAATACTGGAGCAGGATCCACCCATGTCCCCTTTCTTGATGAGGATGACTTCCTGTGTGCTCTTGAATCCACTCAGCCCTTCCAAATCTGAAGGTGGATTTCCCTGAACCCATAAGAAACACTGCAGTTCCTTACAGAGGAAAACTGAGATCTGAAGCTAAAACCCTGGGCTGACTGTAGGAGTGTGGATGCAACCCACAGTCATATACATCTACCCCTGAGCCACACTTTCAACCCCATACTGGGGGGCACTCTAGGCTGACAGTCTACCCCTGAGCCAAGCCCCAACCCCTCACTCAGGTATTCTGGCATGGGCTCAACATTGAACCTTCTTTCCCCAACCTTCTCTTTTTTTTTTTTTTTTTTTTTTTTTTTTTTTTTTTTTTGTTTGGCTTGCCTTTGTGCTTTTTGTTTTTTTTTGTTTCTGAGACAAGGAGGCTGGCCTCGAACTCACAAAGATCAGCCTGCCTCTGCCTCCCAAGTGCTGGGATTAAAGGCGTCTGCCAGCACACCCAGCCCAACCTTCTCTTTTTAGTTATTTTTAGTCAGTGTCTCTCTGGAACCTGTGACCCTCCTGCTCAACCTCTCAAGTAGCTGGGATTATGGACCCGGGTCATCAGACTCCACCAGACTGCCTCTTATCCTAACCCTTTGCTTTCTAGAACACCAAGCAAGAGGGATGTGACTCAGCTTGACCATTCTGTCCAAGGACTGATGTGGTCATCAACACCAAGCTTGCCCTCAGTGGTCCCGGTGAATGACAAAACTCAGAGGTGTGAGGTTGGGGTGTGGCTGAGTGCCAAGTTCTCTCTTGGCATGCATGAGGCTCTGGGTTCATTCCAGCACCATACAGAAAAGTTTTGACTGACATCTTGATGACTTTTTTCCATTCTCATTCCCTTCTGTTTCTTTTTGTTTTTGAGACAGGGTCTTCCTGGAGCCCCAGCTGGCCTGGAACTCACAGAGATGCACCTGCCTCTGCCTCCCGAGTGCTGGGATTAAAGGCACGGGCCACCATACCAGTTTTGTTTTGCTTTGAAATAGGTAAAACAAAACTAAGAGCATGTACAAATGTTGGGGTTTTCAGGGTTAGAGAGCTGGCTCAGCAGTTAAGAACACTGGCTGCTTTGCAGAGGACCTGGATTCAGTTCCACACACCCACATGGTGGCTAATAACCATTTGTAACTTCATGTGCTGGATAGCTTTAGTTGTCAACTTGACACACCTGGGTTGAGGGAGCCTCAACAGGGGGATTGTTTTCATTGTACTGGCCTGTGGCCATGTCTGTGGCATCTTGATTATTAAATGATGTGGGAGGGCCCAGCCCACTGTGGGTGGTGCCACCCCTGGGCAGGTGGGTCTGTGTTGTGCAAGAAAGCAGGCTGAGCTTGAGGCAGAGGAGCAAGCTAGTAAGCAACATTCCTCCATGGCCTGTGCTCCAACTCCTACCTCCAGGTTCCTGCCCTGAGTTCCTACCTTGGGCTCCCTGATAAACTGGTGACCCAGGAGATGTAAGCCACATAAACTCTTACTTCCCCAAGTTGGTATTAGAGTATTTTGTCATAGCAATGGAGAAACAAACTAAAACATTGCAGTTCCAAGGGACCCAACCCCTCTTCTGGCCTTTGTACACATGTGGTACACTTACATATATGCAGGCAAAACACTCATACAATTAAAATTAATTTAAAAAAATTTCTGGTCTTATTTGAGACAGGGTCTCCCTGTGGCACCAGCTGGCCTCGAACTCACTATGTAGACCAGGCTGGCTTTGAACTCACAGAAATTTGCCTGCTTCTGGGATTAAAGGCATGTGCCACCATGCCCAGCTAAATAAATTTAAACACTTTTTTAAAGGTTTTAAAAATCTTTAAAATAAGTAGAGGTTGGATTGGGTGTGTAGCTCAGTGGGTGGTCTGTCCTAGCATGCATATGAGGCCCTGGGTTCCATCTCCAGTACCACATAAGTCAGGTGTGATGGCACAAACCTGTCATCCAGCACTAGGAGGTGGAGGCAGGAGGATCAGGAGTTCATCCTTGGCTACATAGTGAGTTTGAGGCCAGCCTGGAAACATGAGACTCTGTCTCAAACAAAACAAAACATCCCCAAACTGGAGATTCTAGGATTCTAACCCTGGTCCCCACTTCTTTGTTTCTGTGAAGCCTCATTTTCCCCAACTGTGAAATACACACAACAATAGAAAATACAGTAGGCATATTCTGAAGATGAAATTACTTTTAATCAAAAAGTTCCAACATCACTCTAAAAATCATCAGAAGTTCACACTCACTGATGTGAGGGGACTGGGGAGGAAATGGAAGGCCATAAGTAGGAAGATTGGGTTGGAGGTCACTAGTGGGCTAGTGTGTCTAATCCTGAAGGATCCCAGAGGAGGGACACTGCTGGGTAGGCTAGCTCCTCAGCCTTTCACCAGAGGTATGAAGGGCTGTACAGAGCACCCTGGATCCTACACATAAGGCCCAGGTCCCAAAATTGCAGGCTAGGCCAGGCCCCAAATGCTTGGTGCCAAAGGAACCTGCCCTTCCCTTAGCATATGTCTGTCAGCACATACCAGATCCTACCATCATGACTCTGCCCTGTATGTAGCTAGTCTAGACACCACCCCATGGCTCCAACCCTGCCCCTAGTCCTCTAGGCCCCAGCTCATCGCTCCGACCCCACCCCTAGCCATCTAGACCCCCCCATTGCTCCAACCCCACCCCTAGTGATCTAGACCCCACACCATCCCTCCAACCCCACCCCTAGTGATCTAGAACCCACCCCATCACTCCAACACCACCCCTAGTCATTTAGGACCCACCTTCACTGCTCTAACCTGGTCTTAATAAGATATCTAGGATACCCCACTTCTTCACCCCTCCCTCCACTCCATAGACCCTGCCCCCATGGCTCCATCTTGTTCTCTAGATAGCTTGGTTGGCACTCAATCCTGTGGGCTCCACTCCCATCACCTCTGGGCTGCCAGTATCAGAAGACTGAATTGCCTGCAGGGACCCTCAGAGCCAGCACCACCCTAATTGCTCAGGACCACCTCTAACATAAAAGTAGCCAGCAGGCCCCGCCTCTATTGCTTCTGTTCCACCCCTATCGGAAGGCTGGAGAGAGAAGATGGGCAGTGGCTAAGAGCACTGGCTGCTCTTGCAAAGGACCCAGGTTCAGTTCCCAGCTCCCATGTGGTGGCTAACAACCATCTATAACTCCAGTTCCAGGTGATCCAATGCCCTCTTCTGACCTCCGCGGGCACTGCACAACACAGGTGCAATTAGGTACATGCAGGCAATACACTCATATTCATAAAATTTAAAAAAATAGAAAAGGGAGACCCTGTCTCAGAAGACCAAAGGTTGATTTCCACCCCAGTCAGCTGTCCCCTATCAAATAGCTAGACTCCGCCGAGCTCGCAGGCCCCGCCCCTACCAGAAGGCTAACCGCTCCGGCACACAGGCCCGGGTCCAGCCTGCAGGCCCACCCCTGGCCCCGCCCCTGCCCCCCCCCGGGGGGGACCCATCAGGCCCTAGGCA